ACAAGGGGAGTATAGTGGGAAATTCCGTACCGATATATGAGGCCTCATTCAGAAACCTGGTGCATTCAGGAAGAATAGGCTCTAATGGATAATCGGAAACGATATTACCACAGAGACTAGCATCAAAATGGATACAAACACCATGCAAATTTGTTGATAGGAGAGTAATATTCAATAAATATATAAATATATAATATTTATAAACAGTATTTTAAATCGAGTGTGATAACAAACAAGGGAATCAAGGTCATAGAAATGGCAGCAGACCTTTTCGCCCATTGTTACAGCCATTCCCTGAGTTTTAGCTCGAATCCTCACGTGGCCAGTGATTGGCTGGCCGGGCTCTGTCCGTTCGAGGCAGAGATTAGCAAGAACATGCTCGCCAAATACACTCTTGGCATACAATGTAACGCACAAATAGTCGCAGTCGCCTTGCAATGCTTCTGATGGGGTCAGACATTGGAGATTGGTCTTGCTGGTGATATGGTCCAGGTAGGCATGAAGATCGTTAATTTGGGTATTCACGGTCACCTGCAAAATAGTAAGGTATACTTAAATATTGGAAATTTTTGATTTTCTAAACTAAGTAACACCAATGCTTGACATAAATCAGTTCATAAAAAGAAATACAAACATCAGAGGCATTCATATAATTGGATGGCCAGTGTAAATCAGAACACCAAGTCAGCCGGCTCTAACAAAGGTGAAAAGAAAAGTAAAACACGAGCTATATTAAACTATAAAGCTTAGTTTAATGCAGTGATTCCCAAATTATGCGCAGCGGCGCCCCGGGGAGCCGTGGCCTCTTTATAGGGGCGCCGCGAAATATTGTAAAAGCTTCAATTCGAGAAAACGTATAATGATTCACAGGCTCATCCATTACATCAATTATTAAATATTAATTTAATGTTAATAAAGTATAAAAAAATAATGAAGATATACGAGTTTTATTTTTTTATCTCTTACTAACGAGTAGTCATTTTTAGAGTAGGGCGCTATGGAAAGATTTTAATTGAAAAAGGGCGCCGCGACTAGGAAAAGTTTGGGAACCAATGGTT